TGTCTTTATGAAATATGGATGGGCATGATGGAGCTCTGATGTGATATTTGTGTCAAGGAATACATTTTTAATTTTATCAACATAACTATACAACTATATAACATAAAGACTTAGTGGAGGCCATGTATCCACGATGTTATGCTCATAGACATAAATCAGACCATAAACAATGATTGTGACTGAAATTAAACTTTAACCATTGAGCTTAACTTTCTCTCGAGACATACGGTGAACTTATGACGAAGCTTTGTCTTTCTACGAAGTAGAACTGTAGCAATGTCCTCCTTCTCAACATCCATGAATCCTCTCTGTGGTCTTCCTCTTTTCATCCTGCCCTGCCCAGCTTCACATTCAACATCCTCTGCCCAACATATCCACTATCCCTCCTCTGCACATATCCAAAGAATCTCAGCTTTTCCTCTCTAACCAACCACAGCCTCAAATCTTCTTTTTGTGATGCCACTAACATCAAACTATACATCATAGTCTTGTTGTTATCCTTCTGTCACAAATCACCTGTGAAACTCTTCATCTCTCTTTATACCATCCTTTCCTTTGGATGATTGACCCCATGTATTTAAACTTGCCCACGTGTCTCCCTCTCATTCACAGTATTCTACTGGTTGCTTCTGTTGACTATATTTCCTCTTCTCTCCAGAGCATACCTCCACCTCCCCCAGGCTCTCTTCTACCTCCTCCCTATTCTCCCTACAGATCATATCATAGTCCATGAAGACTCACATCTAACCTCATCTGTCAGCAGTTCAGCTTTCAGTCCCATGACCACTACAAACAAGAAGGGACTGAGAGGTGATCCCTGATGTAATCCCATCCCTGCCTTAATCCTAACTGTCACTCCAGCTCCACTGCTCACTACTATCTCAATGTCCTCATAAATGTCACATACTTCTCTGTCACTCCTGACTTTCTCATTTAGTACCACAGTTCCTCTCTTGGCACCATATTAAATGCTGTCTCCAGATCCATAAAGACACAGTGAAAGTCCTTCTGCATGTTTTTCTACACTTCTCTATCAACACCCTCAAGAGAAACATCTGCAGTGCTCTGTCTCAGCATGAAGCCATATCGCTGCTCATTGATCATCTCCTCTGTTCTTGACTTAGATTCACAGTTATTTCACATATCTTAATGCTATGACTCATTAACTTTATCTCTCTGTAGTTACTACAGCTCTGCACATCACCTTTGTGCTTTAAAAGTGGTAAAGTACACTTCTGCTCCATTCCTCAAGTGACTCTCATTCTCCAAGATATTTGTTAAACAATCTGATTAAAAAGTCCTAGACTTCTCCACACCTCCACAGGTATGTCATCTGGACCACCTGCCTTTCCACTTTTCATTCTTTTTCAGTGCTGCCCTCACTTCCTCCTGACTTATCCTTTGGAAGCTCCTCAAAATCCTCCTTCCATCTTCTCAGCACACTAGCTTAACTCAGTAGTACATTTCCATCTCTATCCTTAATCAACCTAACCCGCTGCACATTCTTTCCAGTTCAATCTCTTTGCCTGTCCAGTCTCACTTACAGCTCGCTACAGGCCTCTTTCTTTTCCTTTGTCACCTCTCTCCCCCTTTTCTCACCTTAACCATACACTTAGCCTCCCAGTACTCCTGACTACTTTCTTCATCTCTATACTTACCCCATTTTTGCCTCATTAAACTCTACCTTTGAATACTTTCCTGAACGTCTTCGTTCCTCCACCAAGTGTCCTTGCCTTCTTTCTTCTGTCCTTAAAACTTCAGCTGTCCTTTCCCAGTTATGTGATAACTCTTCTCTACTACCCAGAGCCTGTCTCAACTCCTCCCTGAACTCTGCACAACATTCCTTCTTCTTCAACATCCTTGCCTCTGACCTTCACTTGCTTCCTTATCTTAATTTCCATATCCAGTACTGCCTAGCTACATTATCCTTGTCACCACCTTACAGACAGCTTTCTCTTTCAGATTTCACCTTATGCTTACGATATAGTCTGTGTCCACTCTTATATGTCATCCCGTGTCCCTCCCTCTTCCTGAAATATGTGTTTACCATAGCCATTTCCTTCCTTTTCACAATATCCGCCACCATCTGTCATTCTCTTTACCCCTGCTCTTTTCACTTACATATCCACTGACGTCTGCTCCAGTTATCAAGCTTAGTCATCCAGCGTACTCCAGAATTCCTCTTTCTCTTCTATCATCCAGCCTGTGAGGCATACACATTGAGCACTCTTAATTCTTACTCTCATGTATATATCTCATGTATATCTCATGCACATATCTTTCTATGTAGCACTTTTAATTCTTATCCCTACTTTTATTTTTTCCATGTCTATTTAAGTGTTATTCATGACACCATGTTTGCACTGAAGCACCGCAGCAATTTCCTAATGTTGTAAACCTGCTCAACATTTGGCAATAAACCCCTTTCTGATTCTGATTCTGACAACATTCAACATCATGCCTTAAATTTCCAGCTTCAAACTTATGATCCTGTCTGACACTTTCTTCTTCTCCTTTGCAACACTATTCATGTACTCTTCCTTCAACATTACTCCTACTCCATTTCTCTTCCTATCTACACCATGGTAGAGCAGCTTGAATCCACCTCCAGTGCTCCTCGCCTTGATTCCATCTGGTCTCCTGTGCACACAGTATCTACCTTCCTTCTCTCCATCACATCATCCAGCTCTCTTACTTAACCAGTTATAGTCCCGACATTTAAAGTCCCTACTTTCATCTCCGCATTCCTGTCTCTCTTTCTCTCGCTGCCTCTGAACACGCCTTCCCCCTCTGCTCTTCCTTTGTCTTCGGTCAATAGTAACATAGCTTCCGCCGGCACTCTGGTAACCAACACCACTGGAAGTGGTCGTCGTTAACCTGGGCCCCGACCGATCCGGTATGGAAATCTCATAATTGATGATCATCATGTTTGATTTGGCAAAGGTTTTACGCCGGATGCCCTTCCCGACCGAAGATGGGGGTGCAATTTATGACGGGGAACACCGGCACTGGGAGTACTCTGGCTTGTGGCCCCCTCGTGGCTGTGTTGATTGGTGATATATATATTTACATTTTATCCCAGTCATTATTGTATTTTATCTTTCGTGCAACATGTTATGATCCCTGAAGCCATGGCTCAGAGGGACCTAACATATGAGATGCCAGCGCGCTTTTATAGTTCAACAAATTTTTAATAGTAGAAAAATAATTACATAAAAAGACCGAGATGGGAGACTGGGGCATAAACAAACAAAAGGGAAAGATCATCATCCAACCAGACACTTGGCGATCGGGATTCTACATTAATCCCCAAACTACTATTAGCAAAATTAAAAAAAAAGAACCAAAACCATAAACAAGTTATCCGGATCCAAGTAACAATAACCAGCACTGCAACAGCAGCTGCAAATTAACGCTGGTGCTGGTGGAGATGAGAGAGAGAGCGAGGGGGGAGGGAAAGAGAAAGCTCTTGTTCTGCTTTTTCAAGCCTTATACAAAATATGGTTAATATTTATAGCCAATCGGGGATTGAGAAAAAACAGCGAGCCGAAAACATGGCAGAAAACCAATATCAGGATGCATAGCACAACAAAACAATCAAACTTCTTGTTTTTCCTGTTTGATATTTTTACTGGCAAGTTTGGATGAACTTATTTAACCCCAATCATGTGACTTTATATCACTGGTGCATGTGTTCATATTTGAACTGTCAGGCTCAGTATGAATGTAAGGGTACAATAGTCTGCGTAATTCTACGCAGATTTCAGGACGCTGTGCAGCGTGTGTGCTACAGCGAGTGTTACGCAACAAGCAGACTTCTGGGAGATCCGGATCCAGCCCAAGTGTAATACTAATCATCAGGGTGAGTGTGGAGTCCTTTAAGTAATGTTTACGAACAAACACACCAAGCTGTCAGCTGTGCACGTTTTAAAATGTGCAAAACTTTTTATTTGGCATATCAGTAAATGAAAACAAATATATTTTTCTAACATGCTGCTAAAGTTAGTTCAGCTTTTACAAAGAAAATGTTAAGCTCATTCACTAAGTGCCTGAGTCACTGCTGAGATTCCGTTTATACATGTAAGCGACCCCATCAAAGCTTCATAATCACTGGCTGCCAACAATAAATATGCTGTATTTTTATTTACACACACACACACACACACACACACACACACACACACACACACACACACACACACACACACACACA